ATGAAAAAATAAGTAACTGGACTTGTTCATCCGGTGAATCATTTATCTGCACACTACCAGTAGGCTAGTGACTTCCAGATTGGCTCTTCCTCACACCCAAGTGTCTTTTCTCGCACACACCACACAGGTCATAGTTTTAAATTTAGTAGTTACTGGAAAGGAAGTCTGAACTTCAGACAATGGTGGCAGAAAATCCAGGCTGAGGCAGTTCTTCCAAGGTGAGCTGCAGAGTATTTTTCATAATCCTTTAATAAGGACAAAGGCAAAAAAAAAAAATTTTTTTTTTTCCTCTTTCATAGTAGCTGTGAAGGAATTAGCGAAGAATTATGGTCCCCCTTTGGTAGCTGTCCTGCTACTAGTCTGCATAACTTTTTACTACTATAGGAATCATTAATACTTTTTAGAATATCTAGAACTGGGCATGACATATAGCTACAATATGGATATTTGTTACTGTTCACCTTGTAATTAGAAAGGCCGCTTATAAGTCAGAAATATTTGATTCATGTGACATAATTTTTGATCTTTCCTATAAAACAGAGTTTCCTCTTTCCAGTGCATTACCAGACTCGGTAGCCAGAAGAATCAGAGTTTTAGCTTAGTCGGTATTTTATTAGATCTGCTTTAGCTAGGTCAGTCCCAGTGCTGGCAGCATGAAACCACAAGCGTTGGCATTACATCATCATCTTCACAAAGTACAAGGACATAGCAAAAAACAATTCAGTGACTCCAGTGTCTTTCACAACTATATCCAGAAAGGTGTCACCTTTGGTACATATCCAGGCACAGTGAAGAACAAGGTTTGAAGTCCATAGATAACTTTACTTACTATATAATTAATGTAAGCCCATTTCTCAGAAATTGCTTAAGAACGGCTCTGAGTAATGTGTGAACCATCTACCGCGCATTATTTACAGAAATACTGTCTTCTGTCCTCATGTTCCTTTAAAAAAAAAAAAAAAATTTATGTAGCTTTACTTTTTATCTGGCTGCTTAAAGCTTTGCCAACTTTTCATTACTCCCTTTGCTGGAGTCTTTTTATACTTACTCAGCTTTACAGTGCTGTATCAGCTTTATGAAAATATTTTATTCCTAAAATGCTTTTCATCTTCTCTACCCTGTGAAGAGTAAAGCAAATAAAGTGAAGAACTAACCTGCTTTTCCTTACTCCCACTTTCCAATTCCACAGTATCATTTTTGGTTTGACAATTTTCTCCAGTATCTTTTCGTGTCAATTATGCATGCAGTGAGAAACCTTCTGGTAGTTGAAATATTCCCCAAGAGTCAGCATTCACCATCTCTTTTGCCTTTCTGTTTAGCATACATCTAACTTCTAATTACTTTTTTAGGTCTAGTAAATATTAACCTTCCCAACTGGTATGTTTCAAAGCTTTTCCTTAACAGTAGTGCCTGTAATATTATTTCTGGAAGTCTCTTCTGCTTTTTTTTTCCAGTTCTGTTTTTTCCAGTGAATAGTCCTTAGGTTTTCTGGATTTGCTCAGGTCATTTCTGATACAGTATTGGTAAGACTTGAAATAATAAAAGCTGAACTGGACATTCTGTAATTCTTTTACAGCGAGTCTCTCTAGACTCAGAAAGGTGGATCATAGCTGGCCCTGGGATATTTTATTGGGTTTTTCAGAACCAATACGCAGCTCGTGCTCTGAGTTTCTCCTGTGACAACTATTTTCAACCTTAGCTGGCTCATTTTTTGAATTTAGATGAGAAGTCACTGTCAAAAGTGTGAGCCCTTCGAGAAAACAGTAATAGGAGAGACCCTCTCTTATCAACTAAGAGTACCTCAGTGAACTTGCTTTCTCATACTGCAAATCACAGTTGTAATAGGCATTATGTTCAAAGTTCGTATTAGGAATATCATTTAATGAGAGGTCAACGTGGGGCATTTGTCATTTGTGGCAAGCCTGATTGATTGATTGATTGGTTGACTGACTGATTGATTGATTGATTTTTGATAAGTGGCTCAAAAGTGAGGTTTGTGGTCCTTGCTGAGACCATTTCCATGTTCAGAACTGAAGGCAGAAGCTTTGGGAGTAGAAGTGTGATGTGGTAACTGAGCCAAGCACCCAAACTATTACTGACAGCTTCTGTGAGCCTCCTGTGTTAAGTCTAGTGATGGAGAGTGGAGCACTGTTTAATGAGTAGAACTACCTTTTAATAGAAGAGGACTAATAATAAAAGAATCAGAACAGAAATCTCGAAAAAGGGCAAATAGTAATAATCCAGTCTGCTCAGGTAGGATTTGTCTCATTTGAGCCCTGATTTAAGAAGGGCTGAAGTTTAGTCTAATCTCGTCATCCAGGATAGGAGTCCTAAGACTCTATCGTACAAGGAGGAGAGTCAATGTATTCCTCCGGTGACTCAGATGTGATAATTGCTGTCCTGAGGCTAATTTCCACACGGACAGCAGTGTAGAATAACATCCTCAGCTGCACATGGCCGTGTCTAGACAGGGGCCCAGTGGCCTCCTTCCACAAAGGGAGCAAGAGGTCTATGTCTGGCCTCTATTAAACATCTTCCTGATCCTAAATCACGACCTCTGTCTCCAGGTTGTATTTAAACTAATAGTTCTTTATTTCCCTAAAAATGGATGCCATCAAATGTCATGCACGATAGCTTGACGATTAGCAGTATTAATACTATCACCTATATGGGATTTTGTTCCCTGTGGTTTTGGGGTGTGTTCTCAGCTGAAGGGATCACAGAGGATGTTGCAGTGCCTCGTAAGGGTGAATGTGGAGCTGGTGACCTGTGCCTTTCCTCTTAGCGTGCTACCCTTAAGAATCATTTCAGCTATTGAGGAATGGTTCTGTCCACTCTTCCCTGGGCTGACAGATTCATAACTGTGACAAATCTAATGTAATCATCAGGAGTTTTGTTTTACGACTAACTCCTGGATGATTGTTCTCCGCCTAGACTGCAATACTTCCACTCCATCACTCTGTCTCAAGCTGATGAAGCACTTTATGGCCACTTGTAGATCAGCTTTCACTGTTCAATTTACTGTGCTCTTTCTAATTCATTTGGAAGACTAAAGCAACAACTGATACTGGTTTTTCATTGTTTCTCCCACTATTATTTAATATTCTGAAGTCACAAGCATAGATATTCGGATATTTGCATTGTCTCAATGTTTCTCCTATTGGAAGAATATATTAAGTGAACAAGCAGATTCAGAAATTCTCTTACAGTAGTGCAGAAATATGACAGAGGATTTTAATACACAATATGTTATGGTAAACTGTATGTGGAGCAACAGATGTATAGGAAAAAAAAGAGTAATATATTACCATTATAATGTGAGAAGAGAAAAAATTAGTCAACTCTTGCATGAATAAATTTCACTGGTCTCATGAATAGCTTCATATAATTTAAAATAATCCTTCTGTATTACGAACTTGCAAGCTAATTGCCCTTGGATTGCCACAGCACAGTATAACTCTGTTGGTCTGGGAGTGTTTTGAATTTTGCCAGTTGTGAAGTAGCTACAGTGGAAACTGGAATTGAATGGGTTTCCCTATCAATATATCTGCATATTGTCATAGGGTATTATTCCAGGTGTATATAACTGTAAACATTGCTAGGTTTATCCTTTTTAAAACAATAGAGTTAAAAGTGGCAGATGGTAGTTAATGATTAACGTTTGTAGTAAAAAAACTTTTGTAGTGATAAAGTGGTTGTGTATATATAAATAGACAAGGAGCATGAGCTATGCAACTATAATTGAATTACATTAGCATAACTTAAGTAGAAGTTTAGTAAATACCAAACACCTTAATTAACTTGCACAGTATTAATTAAGAGTATTAATGACGTACTCCCATAAATGACTCTTCAAAGTGTTTGGCAACATGACACTTTAGAGCCAAACTAGTACCCGGTACCCCACCCTCTGTGGCTGGTGTATGGTAACTTATTTAACTCCTACTGCTCAAGCTTGGGATCTGCTGGGATTTCTGGAGGCTGAAGCAACAGCTTTTCATGCAGAAAGCTGGAAACCTCCCTGTGGAGTGGGACAGTAGAGTCGCTGTGCCCTCCAGTTGCGCTGGTCTGCCTCCCAGACTGGAGAGACCTTTGCTTGCTGGGCTCTTAGCACGGGCGTGGGGCAGGTCTTAGCTCAGGCTCTCAGATTTATATATACATATACATACATATATATATGTAAAGTACATATTTATATAGTACATATATACGTTTATATGTATATATATGCAAGTATGTATATAGTGTACATATATAAGTACAGGTGTATGTATATGCAAATATACTCTGCTTCCTCGACCAAAAATTTGTCCAGCAGCATTGTGTAACTCTGGCACTAACAGAAGAACCAACTCTTCTTGTGCCCCTTCAGTCAATCAGGGCAATAATTGTTTCCAATTGCAGGTTTTGCAGTCTTTCCTTTTTCTAACTTTTTATTATTATTTTTGCTGATGCAGTTTCTGGAAAACATGGCAATTATATATTTTAGTAGGTTCAGGAAGTGTAATTGAATCTTGTTATTGGAGCTGTTGGGTCTGTGCATTGGAGTCCAGCCTGATCTGTGCATCTTTTTAGCTAAGGCATGTGTTATTCATTGATGTTCATTCTAAAATCTTAATAGTGGGGTTAGAAGCCTGATTGAAAACCAGTAGTGATTCATCAGTTTATCATTCCAAATAAAGTAAATAAATAATGTAGTTACCAGTTTAGTCAATTACTTTAAAAATACTTGTGAGTCAGGAAATTATATGCAAATTGGTAAGAAATTAATTCCTGTTACATTTGAATGATTTGGAAAAAGCACATTGAATCCACAAGTGGTTGAAATTTATATTCTTCTCTCACATAGGAAACTACTGTAAATAAGCTAGCGTCTCTCTTGGGAAAGAAATGTGAATTTTGCTGACAAGCTGAGGTCTCTCAGCAGAAAAATGCATGTTGACAGTTTGACCCAGTGGCCAATTGACTGATTTCTTTCTCCCTTTTTACTTCTATTTTAGATGCTGAAGAATACCAGCCTCCAATATGGAAATCATACTGTGAGTATACAAGAAATTGAGTATTCTTAGTACCTTACCAAGGTGTTCCTGTTAGGTCTTTTCCCTTTCTTTGTTTAGAAAAAAGACATAAATGTACTAGGTGCTTGTGGAAATTACTGTATGGGACAGCAGCAAAACCTGAACTTTCCTGGTTCTCCATGGAGGAAGTGCAGCAGGGTTATGAATGCCAGACTTTCTGTGTTGCCTTAATATTGTGTGAAACCTGGTTTTCATGGTTTCTCTGCTGCGATTTTCAGGAAGGATTCCTGAGGTAGAGGTTAGTGCTTCACGTATTTACTAAAGGTCAGGCTTGAGTGTACTTGTCTTGTTATATGGGTCACCAAATCACCTTAAGATAATAATATTTTTGATCCTTAGAAATAGACACTGATTTTTGAAGTGGTGGTTTAGAAGTTGGAGACACCATTATCAGTTCTTTGAACCTTCCTGTCTGCCTTTAGAAAAATAATTTACATAGAGTGCAGTGCAGAAGTACATATTTTATGCTCTTTTTGCTTTGTTCCAAGTGTATTTTCTAATGAAGTAGCACAGAATATTGGCTTTTAAAGCCCTTATTAAAGATGGCCCTTAAATTTTATCTTTTTATTTTGAACCATTACTGGAACTTTAATGAAAGTGTAGCTTTGGGTGAGGAGGTTTTTTTTTTTTTGCTGTTTACAGATACAGTACTATCCTAAGCAAAAGTCATCTCTTTTATTGTGGCAACTTCAAATTCAGTACAGTGCCATTACCAAAATGGAACTACAAAAAGACGAGGATCACAGTAGTTACATGCATGTACATGTATAATTTTAAAGACTGGAATAAATTTGTTGACTTCACTTATGTGCACATTAAACTACCTTGCTGACTTCAAAGTCATCACCTCTGTGTTACTTGAGAATGACATTCTGCCTCAGAACAGACTGGGATTTTTTCAACCAAAATTTGCATATGCCATTAAATTACAAAAAGTGCTTCTCAGAACACTGTTCTCTAGAGACATTTTGTTGTTGTTGTTGTTGCAGTATTTCGAATGTAGAAGAAAAACCTTCTTAAAAGTCATCAACAGTGTATTGATTTGAGTTGGACCATTCCAGCATACTTTTCTGGGTACTTGGAAAGAAGCAGACACTTGAGCACGTTGTTTTAGAAGAGGAACCTGGCTTACTCAGAATCAATGGAAAAGCTCCCGTTGACTCTGACAAGACCAGGATTTTAAATGACAGATGTTTCCTTTTTTGCAGGAAGTTTTCATTAAAAAGTCAGGGAATGAGCACATGCCTTCTCTTACCTACTCTTAGTTGTCCCACTTGTGCAGCAGACAGATCACCGCATACAGTGAAAAAGTTTCATTACTTTTGCTTGATACCTTACACATAGTCCAAGAAAACTTTTTTTTTTTAAATTAAAAAAAAAAACAGAATGAACTAACAGAATATGAATATCTGATTTCCTATTCAGATATGTGTAGGATGCCAATATTGTGGTAATGACAAAGTCATGGCCTCAGCATCTGAACCCCATGCGTGAACAACCTTGGAAAAAGTTATACAGCTCCAAAATGCAAGAAAAAGTTTAAGGTTACAGAGATTTACTGCTGAGACTGCTTAGCCACAGACATGCGTTTTTCATTGCAATGTTAGATAACATATGCTTCTTTACTCTGCTAGAAAAATTCCAGTCTGGTAAATTAATTATAGAGGTTATGTGCAACAATAGCATTAATCTATGATGCAATCGACTGTCCTGTCTCATCACAGTTTTAACTTAGTGTATGTATTTCACTCTTACCAGCTTGTGTTTACTGCCTATTTAACAATTATTTTCAGTGTATTTTAGCTAGTAACTTTTAAAACTTTGCTAACATACCATTAAGGTACTTTGCATACAGTTTTGATTTCTTCTTTAAGTCCTGGATAAATTTAGGTACACTGTGTTGCCTTTTATTGACATCATGACCAAGGCCTCAATCCTTCTAGCTTCTTGACACAGTCAGATCTTCCTGTCTGTGCTGGCAAAGGATTCAAATAAATGGTATTGCACGTATCCATGGGCAAATGCCAGTCAAAGTGGAACAGCTTTCAGAATCCAAGCCTTATTCTTTGGCATAATGTACAGGTTTGTTTCAGCTGTATTTGGAAAAGATGGACACTTCTAATGCAGAAGATCCTTACTTGCTTATGAAGGATTGTTAGAAGGTGTATAGGTTTCACAGACTTTTTCTGGTAGCCCTGAGACACAGAGAATAAAAGAAATGACAAGAGTAATTTCGTATTACCAGGAAGGGACTGGGGAAAAAGTCTGGAAAGTTACTAGCAGCCAGCAGTCTCTAGGCAGTGGATTTGATTGCATTTATACCTGAGTAACAGATAAAAAAATATCCGATAACAGATTTCTCTTTGTAGTCTGCTGTAAGTTAAGGAACATTATACAAAATGACATTTTGCCTTATTACCATTACTGAGGTCATAAAGAAAGGAAGATGATAATCACAGACACGTGGGTTAGCAGGGACTTCTGGGGTGAGCTGGTCCAGCTTCCCACTCGAAGCACAACTATTGTCAGCTGTAGAGCTGAACACCGTGGCTTTACCCAGCCGAGTCCTGGGAAATTTCAGGGATGGAGCCTCTGCCACCTTTGTGGGTAACCTGCTCCAGTGCTGCACTGCCCTCTTAGAGCAGAACCACTGAGCTTCCCTGCTTCATGTGACAAGTAGTCAATTTGACTGCTGAAACAGCATAGTCATTTTTGACTTACAGCTACAGCACCTAAGTGCTTGAGTTTTGAAGAGATATAAAGCCACCCTTTTTCTCCTTTTACCACTGTTAAGATTTGCGTGTGCTGAGCAAGTCTAATGTCAATGCCATTTCAGTGTTTATTTGCATTATTTATGATCGGTACACTGATATGAAGCAATGTGGCAAGGCACGGAGCATCAGCTGATGCCATGCTTCAGCTCCTCACAAAGTTTCCCTGCCTTCTGCCCTTCATCAGATAACAAGCACAGTATCCGAGAATCAGTTTTGTTAGAAATTAAGGCTTTATTTCAGCCAGGCACTTAGGTTCCTAATTCAGCATGTGAGTAATCCTGCAGAAATAGGACAGCTCATATTGTTCAAGCTTGGCACGGGGATAAATGCCTGACTGAGATGAGACTGAGGAGGTAAGACAAAGGAACTCTATGAAACATTCTCAGAGAGAACACAGTATGTTTCTTTGCTGCTTTATAAAAGCGATGATAGGAATTTTTCCTCTGCTAGAGCATCACTGAACACTAGTCATAGGTGAGTTAAGGAGAAAGCTTGAGTTCTGACACACTGCAGAATGAAAAAAGTATGAAGAAATTGGTGATAGTCCTTCTTCCCTGACAGAAAAGGAGTAAGTGTTGATTTTTGCATGCCATCTCTTTGTTTCTTAGACAGATCAGATTTTGGAATTAGACAGGTTTTTTTAAAACATATTGTAGAATTTCCCCTAGTCATCCCATGAGACAACACTCGTCCTTTAGCAGGAACAGGAGAGATATAGTCTAACTAGTTACTTTACATCTCAAAGAAATGTTCCCCTAGAAATTAAATAATAAATTAAAGTTTTGTTAACTTTATAAGTTCCCAGGTGATTATGATACTATGAATACTGACAAACTATCTGAATTATGAAACTGATAAAGATGTTAAAGGGCCAACTGAAAGCTACTGCTTTTTTCTATTGCAGTGCTGCATTTTGGTGCATTATTACTATGCGTTTCATTTACATCTGATGCTGAACAAAAAGATACTCCCAGTCTAATGCTGTTCTCTAAGCAAGTAATAATACATTTTCTTTTTGCATGCAGTTGACATTTTGTAAGGTTAATTTTCTCAGGGCTAAAATAATGCATCATTATGTTCAAGTGTCATCTTTTTAACGATCACAGTGGGTTTGTCTCTAACCTGCCTGTCAGTTCTAAATGCTGGAAGAGACTGGGTCAGATGTCAGTCACTGCTTACCACTGTATTAAATAAGTGTGTTTTTCTATCATTTCAGTTAGCCATATCCTTATACATTGGATCTGTTTTAGGATTTTCAGAGGTGGAGGAGGGAAAATGAAGCAGAAAGTCTTGTTTTGTTGTTCGAGCAAGTAAGTGAGGGGCATGTGCTTCCCAAACTTCTGACCATCCCATGGACTCTGCTCGGGTCTCGGCAATGTTAGGCAGAGTGCGAGTGCCCAGCACTTTGGAAAAAGTATGTAATGAAATCAGGCAGAGCTGCGGGATGTTCAGCACTTTTGAAAATTAGGTCACTTAATGAGGTGTCTACACTCATTGGAACTTAGCTGTAGAGCACATTTTTCTCAAGTCACCTTAGCCATAGTATTGCACTTGTATTCATAGCCCATTAGCAGGCTTTCATACAGGAATCATTTGAAGCAGAAACAGGAGAGAACCTTTCTAGAGAAGAAGAGAGCTTTTGGTAGGGTCACACTTGCTTAGCTGCTTAGTATGTTAGTCTGTGAGATACTGCCTTTTCCCAGTTTTTCACTTAACTGAACTTTTGCTGTTGTTTTACCTCCTCCACCCTCGCCTCGTTGCGTGTCTTTTCAGGGTATCCTTGGCAGCTCTGGGCCTGTCTGGCTCTTCTCTGTTGTTTGTCTCCTGTTGAACTGCTTGGCATCCCTTACCACAATGCCACTGGTGGTTCTCAGTCCTTTCTTTCTATTCCTGATCTGTCTTTCCTCCCTCCATCTGATGGTTCTGCATCTCTCTCCAGTAGTTCCACAGGGTTGTCTTTCTGTCAGTTTAATGCCTTTCAATTTAAAACTAATATGGCCACATCTGAATTCTTTATCTTTCCCAGGAAACCATTTCCCATTCATGATGCTTTCTGTGATCACCACCATTCGCTATCTCAACCATGCTTGTTATGTGGGGACATTTTCTCATCCTGCACATCTAAGGCAGCATATAATGTATTACTGTTGTTGTTGTTGTTGTTGTTATTATTATTATTATTGTTATTGTTGTTGTTGCTGTTGTTATTGTTGTTGTTGTTGCTGTTGTTTGTTTGCATAGTAATAATCTTTCTACATTTTCCTCTGATTTATTTAGAAATCACATGTCTTTCTCAGTTCAAATTACTGTTCAGATTAATCACCCATGCCTCTCTGAGAATGACAGCAACCTTTTCCAGTCTACTCAAAATACAGTTGTTAAGATGACTTTTCTTCCTTGTGTTTATCATGAATCCCTGCACTGATTCATCCCACTGCATCCTATCAGCATCCAGTTTTTTTGTGCTTGCTTTCAAACCTTTAATATATCTGTCTTCTCCTGTTAATCATTCCTTCCTTTGGTTTGTGAAATGCTGACTCTTCTTCCCACCCTTGGTTCTCTAGTGCTATCAGCCTCAGAGATCCTTTTGGTCATTTCAGAGAGCTCTTTGCTTTTCTCATTTCCTATAAATGCAGCACAACACGAGATGGGCTTCCTCTGTGTTCTTCAGACCAACTTGTTTTGCACCACAGCTATCAAGGTTATCTTAGAAACAACTCTACTAGTTTAATTTGCTGTGTCAGTTAATATTTAACAGGTTTGATTATTGAAAAATAGGATTTTTATGAAGTGTGATTTTTTCAATTAAAATTGAAACTAATAAATTGGGGAAATCGATTTTTTACTTTAAATGTGAAGCAATCATATTCTTGCAATATTTTGAATACTTAGAGTTCCTTCTCTATACTGGAAATGTGGGGGAAGAAAAAGGTTACTATTTTCCTCTTGGATATGTTTAGTATTAAGCATCAGTAACTTGCTTAATCAGTGGTTATGCTGATTTCAGACATTCAGAAATGGACTCTAAAATCATGATATTGGGCTCCAGAACAATCAATGTTTTAAAAACCTATCTGTGATTTCTGAAGCCAAATTTTCATGCTTTGCTTGGCAATTCTTTTGGCTACACCGTTCATTTGATCACAAAAGAGTAAAAGGAAGACTGAATCTTAGTCAGACAATTGCAAGAGGTAGGAAAGACCACAAGTTATCATGTGTCTTGTGCAAAAGTAGTGGGAGATCGGGCAGTGCTGCATGATGTAGGTTAAATCCAAAGCCTTAGTACAAGTTCAGAGCTGGATCACATCCATATGCATTAAAACTGGTAGGGAATCATGAACTCTCTTTCTGTGCCCCTCCGAGGAACCAGGGATGAAGGTTGGGTTGGGAAAAGGAGAGGCTGTGATTTTCTCCACTTTGACATTAGCAGAGAACAGAAGCCCCCAAAGTTTTCACATTACCCGAATGACAAACTCAGGTGCAAGCCAAGGTCTTCCCCACATCTCAGATTTCATCACTCCTAGCCCTGTTTAAAGAGAAGCATAATTCTGAGCTTCACAAGCATTATGAAGAGCCCTGTCCTAGAATCTCGGTCTTTTAAAAAAATTCATAGGCGCAACGTGATCTTTCAGAATACAAGAAGGTCAGCATACAGAAGGCCTTTCTCGAGGGAGACAGTCCAAACCTCTGGGATTTTTGCTGCAGTTACAGAGAGACAGTCTGTCTGCGCTGGAATTGATTACTGTCATTGCATGTCAGCTTCTTCTCATGACTCTTGAGTGGAAAGGAAGGAGGGGATCTCATTAAATAAGTGCAGTGGAGAGGCTGGGGCCCAGGGTTCAGCGACTACCCCTAGCCTCAGGTCTCTCCTCCAGCCCTCAGAAGATTCGCAAAATTGATCCAGGGCCATTTGAATAGGGCGTAATTGCTCTGAAAGGAATGTTTGCTTGCTCATCAGTAATTGCCAGCAAATCTTGAAATAAATGATGAGATTGTGGTGAACCCTTTCAGACATGCTGAACTTTTTTATGGCCTATCCAAAAAACCACTGGTGTTACTGGTAAGCAAACTGTTCCTGAGTTGTTACAGCATGGTATATGCAAAAATGAAATTTTATCCCGAGATACATCTAATAAACCTTTCTAGCTAATCTTCCCAGGCATAGAAATGTAATAACAAGTACAAAAGGAAATAATACTTATGAAAGTTAAACCAATGATCACTTCAGTTAATTGGTAGGTCAACAACCAATTTTCATATAAATTATTTAGATGCACTGAAATACCTATTTTTGCTGTCCTTTTCTTTACATTTACATTTTTCTCTGCAGCCTTTGGGTAGAAAGACTTACCTGAATAAAAGTTTCTGCGTGTTGCCATCTTCTAATGATCTGTACATTTTTGTGTTTGACAGTGTATCAGTTGCAACAAGAGGCACCACGTCCCAAGAGAATCATCTGTCCTCGGGAGGTCAGTTCTTCTTTTGTTCTACCTTGTTAAATCTGATTAATTGTCAGCAGCATATGATTACCAAGAAATCTTTTGTACAGTCTGCAGGTAGTATTTGCTTTAATTTTTCTAAGCCATCATTCTATATAATCATTTTTCTTAAGGTTGATTAATTAAAGTAGATTAATATTTGCTAATTAGGCATGGAGGCCTCATTCTACCACTAGAAGCCCCTTCATTAGACAGATGCTCATTAATCATTGCTTAGTGTGCTTTTCTGTATACTACCTACAGCTTTTTGTTTCCTTGTCAAAATGAAGGTGTATTTTCTTCCTGTATCTGCATATTAACATCTGCTTGATATGTTTCAATATGATACACGTAGCTTCAGCTTGTTGAATGCATTCTGCCAAAGATTATGTTCAGGTTAAAATACTGAAGTGATAGCTGGAGAGATTGGTTCTGCCACAGAAGCTTTACAGATTATAGGATATTTAGAAATCTACAGGTCTACAGGTTTGGCTGAGTCATCTTGTCTCCTTGTTTTCTTTCTCTATATTTCTCCGTTTCTACAGAGTTAAATATGTCAGTTTCTCAACCTGCATGGCATAATAATGATGAATAACGTATGTAGATGTCTCTGCTCAATCAATAAAGCTGTGATAGCTTTATCTTCTCTAATGTCAGGGACAAATTTTGTTCAAATAGACATGTAATACTAGTAACAGAAGTACTAAATGCATGAAGTGATTGCACAAGGTATAAAAGATGATGTGAAAGAAGATAGAGACTGCAGTTCGTCGGCATGATGTGTATCTCTACTCTCAAACATCACCCTGAGCTCTGACCTGCTTCCCACACTATATACACATTGAAGCAGAGCCCTGGCACAGCGTCTGTCAAATATTAACAGATACACTCTGGGAAGAGGTTTGCATGGGGCAGGAGGTTTTGTACCTAGGCACAGGTGGTTGTCCAGGGTCATGAAGAAGTTCCCTTGTGAAGCCAGGAGTTGAATCCACTTTTCCTGAGTCTGCCCAGTGCTTTAACTAAAAACCAATGCATTTTTCTCACAAGTGAGATCTACCGGTTGTTTCAGGGCAGGGAGAGCCGGGTCTTAGCCTCAGACTGGAAGTCTTCAAGCCCTGTCAGTTTGGGATGGTCCCAAGACATATCTGCAGGACGCTAGGAGGGGCAAGCACAACACCAGAGTGGGTGAACCCTTGTGTCGTCCTTCCTCCCTGCCAAAGGCAAGGCTTAGAGAGAAGGAGCATGCTGTAGCCCTGTGGGACTTAAGTGCACGTGTGCTGCAGGGTTTTAACAAGACCTTCCTCTCTGAAATTTTCACGCAAAACAAATGACAGGGAGGTCTCTGTGGCTGGTATTCTCTAAAGGAGAGGACATTAAGTTTTTTACTAAATGAGTATCAAAATAACAGGTATTAAACTACTAGTGGTATGGTTGAAAATAGTTAAGTGATTTATTTACCTCCAGTGTGGCCTTAGAGGAGGTTCTCACTTTGTGTAAGGTAATAGTTTATCTAATATTTATTTATCTATTTCATACTGGAACTACTTTGAGGAAGAACTTATCTTGAGAAGAATCTGATTAATAAACATCGAATACTTAGGAACCTTTGTCTACAATTTGAACTCATCTTTGTGGGGATACAGGTGACTTAGTCTGAATAAGTTCAATCCAAAATTTATTATGATAACTCAAATTAAAACATTTTTTTAGTTTGCTTCCATGAGTGAAAATTTGCATCAAGGTAAAATGTGCTTTTAAAGTAGAGTAGTAATTGTATTCTTGTTCTGGAAACAAGCTTATCTACACAAGTGAAGTAAATGTGCAGCTGTGAGCTCTTCACCAGTGTGCTGTATTGAACTTGCTTCCTTAGACTCAAGAGCGTGTTATGTATAACTGAAGTTATCCTTTGCTCCCTTTGCCCAGTGTTTAAAGGCTATACATATTTAGTGCCCATTCAGGTCACTTCTAAAGATTTGCAGAAAGAAGCTAAGATCATATTAGATTAACAAATGAATATGTAATTGGCAAACCATTACCTAACAAAATAAATAAAGAATGTCTGATTCACATAATCTGGGTTTAGTTCTGACTAATGAACCATTTTTAGTGGCTCACTTCATGGACTGAAGAGAATCCAATTTTGATTTCTTTTGATTTTTTGAAATTTAGATAAACAGCTGAAAATAAGAGACTTTATTTAGCGATAGGTGTATAGAGCAGTATGAACTCCCTCAAATGTAGTCTTTGGTTGACTTCTTGTTACTTGGATTTTGAATTTTTGTGTATCTCAATGGCATGTGTTCACAACCTGATTGCTAGAAACACAGATTTTCTGATACAAGAGCCAAAATACTCTACTGCACTGATGATGTGCTTTATTTTTACAAATAGTTGGGGAGGTGGGGGTAAGTGGGGTATCCTGATACCTAGATTGCTCCTTGTGGTTCATATTACCAGTTTTATACAAAGTGGAACTACATACTGGTTTTATAGAGCATCACAGATTATTTTAGAGAGAAAATTCAGCCCTGTGTTTCTGTGGCCCCTATTAGCTTTTCCTTAGCACACAGTCTGTAAGTTGGGTGTTTTGGGGTTGTTTTTCTTGATTCTAGTTCGACTTCAGTGTAACCTGATGATTGCATAGGCTTGCCTCACTAAAGATGGTGTCTTATTAATCCTAAATTTCTGTCAGTTACATAGATCTCAAAATCTGTTTTTGTGTTATGTATGTTATGTATATTAATTTGCAATACGATAGTTAGTATGCAGCGTGATGCTCATCCAACACCTGGAGAGCCAGTGTCAGCAGGATGTGTGACTGACGGGCAAAAGAATTATCTCTCTGTGTGCACATCATAGGAACTGGTCTTGGTTGATGGCGTTCTCTTGTATAATTTAGGACTCAGACTGCTTCAGACAAATGTAAAAATTGCAGATAATTTTAAATCCTTCGTGCTTATGGGAAGATGTCTTTCATTCATAATTGCCAAGTTCTGCACTGTTCACAGGGAAATTGAAGGATCTGCTGCAAGCAAAATCTGTAACACCAACAGATAAACTTGTCAAGAGTTGGAGTTGGTTTTTTTGCTCTCACCACTTGGCATTTTCGTTGTTCCTCCATCTTTTCCATTGCCATCTTCCACATTCTCCGCATTCATTTGCTCTTCCATTACCTCTCTGTAATCCATAGTCACAGGGGGTTTAGCCAAATATCTCTGCAGTCCTGCTATCTGATTTGTGAGGATTTCTTGATTAACTATGCTCTGGAAACAGAAATCACCTCTCCCTATAGGCAAACCACCAGACTAAAAGCTAGGACTGTAAATAAAATGTGAACATTTATATCTTTGTGTCTTTGAGCTTTGCTGTCATGATTTTCCTTTTTTTTTTTTTTTTTTTTTTTGCCTGCATAAATATCTTGTCAGTGAAAGCAGGTCATTCCTGCAATGGGAATCATATTGAATGAACTGTTAGGGCTTCAGGTATCTAATGGCTTTTAATTAATCACCACTGGCAGTGGGACTAGTGTGAATATCATACCTTCCCAATAACACTGGATTTCTGCCAATATCCTCATTTGTAACCATATTCCTTCCAGCAACGTTTTAATGATTTATTTTTTAAATAGAAAACGTTTCATTTAAAAGCACCATTCAGCTGGAGGAGTAGCTTTTAAATATTGTGCAAGTGTGACGGTAGGCACCAAAGAACCAGATTTGTGTTGTGAGGAACTCATACTATAAAACATCTTTTCAGGTTTATTCTACAGAAATGCTGATAAAAAATTACATGCTCAGAAAATCATTCAAGTATTCAAATTCCTTGTTTTATTCAAAAGTAACATTTTAAAGAATTCTTAATTTTAAGAAATATTTCAGAAGTAGACTAATCAAAATTAAAATATCTTTTAAAGAAATGGAGGCTTTCACAAAGTAAAGAATTAAAGCAAGATGGTGACATTCATTTGGAAATGCTTTGTTAAGCAATAGGTTTGTTATAAATTCCTTTAAAGAGGAGTGAGTCTTACCCATGAGTTTTTGGATTACTTGTGTAGAGGTATTCATACCTGTGAATGTTATTCCTATTCTTTTCCAAGAAATCCTTAATTGGTGACAGCAGTTTTTGAGGCCGGAGAGTTTGTCTGCATTAGACCTTGTATATTCCTAACAGTGCCTTGGCCAAGCCAGTGTCAGCAACAGTGAGAAACTTGTCTAAATTTCCCTAGTGTAGACAAAGCCTTAGAGCCCTAACTTATATCATTATGTAGAAAAATGTCAGTTAATTGCCTTCCTCATCATTCTGAATTCCAAATAGGTTGTGTCAGAAGTGGTAGGAAATTATTATCTCTGCCTTTAAAGGCATCAAAATGATGGTTTCTTGATTAAAAGCAAATATGATTACAAAAGGGAGACTTTTGTCCAAAAAAAAAAAAAAATCTCTTTTTCTTTTTGCTTAAGTGACTGTAAGAGACTAAAATAGTGATGGCAGATTCAGACTGTACCACTGAGAGCCTTTCACTCTAACCATCCGAAGGGTCAGGAACTGTTTTGACCCTCTGGGTATCCATTACCCAGATTTATCAAAACAGCTGTATAGATAGTGGCATTTCATAGAGCTTAACTGTTGAAATGGTCACCAGCAGGCTTACAATGATACTGCCATTTTGTACATTTCTAGCAGAGAATATACAGGATCATTGCACATGTCCAAAACTGAACCACTGCAAATTATTCTTTACTCAGTTGTCCTCAAAGTTCCTTCTGAAGCACAGGATTCAAGCTAAAAACAATGCAATGATTAGAATATCACTTAAACAGTAACAATATTGAAAAGTGCTTTAAAAATGCTGGTTACTTTTGTCAGTCCTTCTTTCAGGTAGAAAAATGTTTTATATTTGTACATAAGAAAAAGCTTGTCATTAGATAAGCTTGAGCAAGGCTGTTAAAATCAAGCATTAGTAAGATGTTTGCAGTGTATATCTGACTGGATAA